GCTGAAATGGTATTTAAGCTGCAAATGATAGCAGTTCCTGCTCACTGATTTTTCTTTTTTGTGAGTTACAAGCTTTGCTCTGGCCTGCTTGATTTTCAAACTGATAAACATATTTCTGTCAAAATGTGGTTATTTCTGACTAGTGTTTTCTGAAACCAGACACAAATGTTCATGCACCATTTTCAACCTGACTTTAGAGTCACTCAAGTATTTTATAGGTCAAATTAAAAAAATGTATATGCCTACTGTTTTTGTGATAGCCCATCTGCAGAGTTCTGCAGAGAGTGGTGAAGACTTCACAGAAGTCTGTTGGAGTCAGCCTCGCCACCATCACAGACATCTACACCTCCAGATGCAGGAAGAGAGCCACCTGCATCAGGAAGGACCCCGCTCACCCAGCACACTCACTTGTTGCACTGCTCCCCTCAGGCAGAAGGTTGACGAGCATTAAGTGTAGAACCACTAGACTGAGGAACAGCTTCTACCCTGAAGCTGTGAGACTCACAAAACCCTAACCAGGATACTCACTGTAATGCCACTTTAATTGGTGATATGTGACTGTGCTGCTGATTATCCATGCTGCTGACTATCTGTGCTGCTGACTATCTGTGCTGCTGATTATCTCATGCTGCTGATTATCTCATGCTGCTGATTATCTCATGCTGTTATATCCATTCATAACTATCTGCTCACCACAGACTCATGTTCAGGCTGCTGTTATGCCATATTGTTTTACAATAATGTTTAGCGTATATCTTAGATCTTTTAGCGTACCATTTGGCATTTATCGTACTAGATCCTTATTTGCCGTTTCTTTTTATACTTTATGTTTTGCTATGTTTGGCTGTAACTGAGACCCTGCGTGCATAATTGCATTCAACCTCATGTACACCATGTGATGGAAATGACAATAAATTGACTTGAACTTGACGAGATGCAAATATAAAATCCATGTTCTTAATTCTCAGATTTACAACAGTTAAGTAAAATGTGAATACACTTTTATTCCTAGTATATTCTTGCATTACTGTATGTTAAAGCAGTTAATTGCAGATTACTTCAGGCTTAGACAAAAAAAAAATGAGGAGGAGACTGGATGAATTGCACATAAAACTACTTATGTGCACACACGCAAACACGGACAAAGAGTTGTGTGTTTGTGTGTCAAGAACAGTTGAATGAAATCCTTGTCAGTCCCTTGCATCGCTGAGCAGCTTGCTAAGCTGGATCAATGGCAATGTCACAGCGTACTCGCACCACCCAGTTCACACACATATCAGCTTTGCTCCGTCGTTCCTCACTAAAATGGGCACTGTCACACTCCATTTCCCCTCCCATAAAACGCACAAGGTCAAAGACGGATGACTCCTTTTTTCTCCCGCTGCAGTTAAGATTTCCTTCAGTTTGGCCTAAAGTATTCTTCATCAGCATTGGCTCCTAAATCAAGACTTTGGACTATTACTCCAATAAAATCTGAGCTGAAACGCTCAATCTGGATTCAACCAGTGACTCTGACCCCTGCACAAACCTAAAACTCAAACATGATCTGTGTTGCAGGCATAGAGAAGGGTAATGTGCAAACCAGTCTTCTATAAAACAGTAACTGAAATATGCTTTTGATTAAATAATCCCTGTTAAAAAAAAACAACAAATATGACTAATCATAGTGAAGCATGGACTGAAGTGGGTTCACAGAAAGCTGCAAACTGAAAACAGATGCCTACAATACAAAGCAATGTTGCTGTATTTTGCAGTCACTGACAAAAAGGCAGTAAATTACATGTAACCACATATTCCAGCACCTGCTGGTAGCTAGGCTCATTTTAAAAAAGCACACGGTGACTTTTTTTTAAAACATATGGACTCACTTGTCACGAGGAGTTCAACCCAATCAGTAAATATACGGCATCTGCAAAATGTGGTAACTTTCTCACCGGAAGTCATTTTGTGAGCGTTTAGGAATATAATTGCCAGAGTGATTGCTGCATGTGTTAAGGGGAGATCACACATTCTTCACAGATAACCTGTGTTTTTAACTGTGTCTTAAGTGGGATAGATCAGAACACATGTTTGTCACACAACTAGGATCAAAAACCTGCTGCAGAACTTAGCTTGTTGTTTGCACATGTGCACCAGAAGCAGCATGGAAAGCTTGCATTAGATTATTGCACATGCACTGGTTTTTCATCTGTTGGCTCCACTTGACACAAGTTTTAGGATTTTTTTTTGCTTTACAATTAATACCCACGCAACGTGGGCTAGATCAGTTGTTCATTACTGAATTGTCTGGACCTCCTTGACTTTGGTTTGAGAGCTCAAAACCCCTTGCAGTATGTTTAAAGCAGTCACTAAACTGTGCGAGTTTGTGATTAATCATGTTTTTTGTAATTCCAGTACATTAGTATTCAGAAATGTTTTTTTTTTTTTTAAATATGCAAGTGCATCCAAAAAATATATAATATTGTGAAAAAGTTGTGAAACTCATATATTACATAGATTCACTACATAGAGTAAAATATCTGAGGCCTCTAGTAATTTTGATGATTGTGGCTTATAAATGATGAAAAACCAAAACCAAGTGTCTCAGAAAATATAAATATTACACAGGCCAGCTGTTGGAACCTTTGTCAGTGTGGGCAGGAGCCAAGTCCTGCTGGAAAATGAAATCAGCATCGACATAAAGCTCGTCAGCAGAAGGAAGCATGAAGAGCTCTAAAATGTCCTGGTAGATGCTGCACTGAGTGTGGACTTCAAAAAACACAGTGCACCAACACCAGCAGAGGACATGGACCCAAACCATCACTGACTGTGGAAACTTCACTCTGGACCTCAAGCAACATGGATTCTGAACCTCTCCACTCTTCCTTCAGACTCTGGGACCTTGATTTCCAAATGACATGAAAATTTACTTTCATCTGAAAAGAGGACATTGGACCAGTGAGCAACAGTCCAGTTCTTTGTCTCCTCAGCAGGTAAGACGCTTCTGATAATGTCTCTGGTTCAGGAGTGGCTGGACTTGGGGAATGTGACATTTGTAGCTCACGTCTAGGAGTTAATCAGCTGAATCTGGGTGTGACACCAGAAGTTTACAATACTGAACCTCGTCACAATATGCAAAGTTTTTGACAATGAAGTGTTTTTTTTATTTTAATTCAAAATCAGCAAAATCACAAGAAATAAAGGCTTGAAATATTTCAGTTAATGTGTAATGAACCTATGTAATATACGAGTTTCACTTTGTGAAATGATAAACAAAAAAAAATAACTTTTTCAAGATATTCTATTTTTTTGAGAGGCACCTGTGTATATACTATGCCCACAAAATGTGTAAAGTGCACAGATTTAATAGAATTATTCTCCTGAGAAAATAAACATTGTTTGTTTTATTATAAATAAGATCATATCATATATATATAAATAAATAAATGCACTTACAATGGCATAGAACTGACTCGCGGTGAAATGTATCATGACATGGGAATGTATTTATTCATTGGTGTTTCTATGTTGGCCAATAAGGAGTTCTGGACAGAAATGCCAAGCTAAAAGTACCAGTAAATATTTATAAAGTATTTGAAGTAAAATATATGTAGCAGCTTGTTCACATTTAAGATTAATGTGAAAAGCTTGTTCAGAATGTTTATGTTGGCCTTTTTTCACCAGCACAATTTTCTATATATTGAAATCTATTCTAGCCAGTATTTCATCCCTTTATAATATGTTATTATTAAATAGCTTGCTGACTAAATTGTAAAGATTTGGCCAACTTCAGCTGTATTTAAATGTGCCTTAGAAATAAAATGCATTTAAATGACTCTGATATTTTCCCATTGCACCCCAAAGTTACTTGGAGTCGTGGAAACGGTGTCTTTATTCCTTCAGTACACCAAAGCAGCTTAAAAGCTACGGTTTACACACTTAAACCTTTTTCTACAGAACATGTACCAGAGCTGCTGAGAGGACAGAACTGCAGGGGTCAAATGTCACCTTCATCTTCAGTTGCATCATTTGTCTCATCCTCTTGACGTCTATTTTGATTTAAATTGTGAATGTAGTATTTGTACAAACATGCACATATTGCATTATAAACTGTTAACTGGTTTGTTTTACCTTTTTACATAGGTTTGAATTAGCCTTAAAAATCCATTTTAGTTATTTGATGTTTGAATTATCTGTGCATAACCACTGCAATATCATGGAGAACATGCCCCGTCACTTGACATACCCAACACACTGACAACTTTCAGAAGACTGAGCAGGGCAACACAAACATAAACAAATGTAAACAAAAGAGATGGCACATTTCCCACTGTACCCACGGCTGGGCCTTAGAATGGAAGCACTTTGGGACAAAATGGCTGCCATGCGACTGTACAGTTGGTTGATATTCAATAGTATTATGGATGGAGCAAGTTAGTGACCCATGCAGGATACAATCCACCCTCCTGCTCACAAAAAAAGAGGCATTATGCAAACTGAGCAGGCAGGAACAATGAAGCATGAAGGCAGATGTGTAAAATTGGATGAATATGGTTCTCAGTAGAATCATGTTTGTTTTTTATAAAGCTAAATGAACTCCAACTGTTATCCCAAGTCACTTTTTACAGTACAAATGTGCTGTGGCGTTCCTTTCTGACAAACATGACTTAAATAAGCACAGAAACTTTAGCATGTGACGGCAATGTGCCTCTTCTGGCAAACATCTGGCAAAGCTGAGTAAATCCCATATAACAATCAAGAAATAAAAACTATAGCTTTTGGAACAGTTAGAGAAAATGGCAGCAGAGGCTGCAATATTATATGCAGATACATTTTTTGTGTGTGAGAAAACGCAATAATTAACTTACTGTTACCTCCTTCAAGCATTATTATAAGCAGTTAAATGCGTCACAAGACAAAAGTAAAGCCAGGCTACTAAAAATGTCTTTCTCATGATTTGATTTGATTTATTTATTTTTTTTTATCTGTACTGACAATTCACACAACTGAGTCAAACTTACCTTCACTTGGAAAGGATGGATCTCATTGAGAGAATGTCTTCTGAGCTTTTTTGTCAGGGTCTTTAGCATTTTTTTTAATTGAGGAACTTTATGGCTTATCCCCAACAATCTACTTTTACTGTCTCCCAAATGTCGGTTAAGACAAGTTCATTCGCTATGAGCGGCTAAAAAAAAGACATTTTGACTTCAAAAGCGGCTGAAACTGCAACTACACAACCAGAAGCCGAAGCCAGTCGGCGTCGATAAAGATGATGCACCGAAATTCTCCAAACTGCGTAGATGCGGCTTGTTTTCGCAGGCTGCTCGCAGCAAACTTGTTATTCTCGAGTTCATTAGAGTTTGCAGCGTTCAAGTCAGTTTCAAAAATCCTCCTTCGCAAGGCTTCAGCCGCTCGCACAGACGCAACTTTAGCCCAAATGTGTTGGCAAAATTAAAAAAATTAAAACTATAAAAAGGAAAATAACATCTACTTGCTCGCATTCAGACACGCACACACGCACACTCACACACAAACACACGCAAACAACCGCACCAGCAGCCACACAAACACACCACGGAGAGCTCTCCTCCAGCCGGAGCGTAGTGCCCTGTGATTGGCTGAGCCGCACCATGACGTCGTACGTCGTGTCAAGGAGGAGGGCGGGGCATTAAAGCCACACTGCTGCTTCTTGAATGTTTACTTCTGTATAAATACATAAATAAATAAGTAAATAAATAAACGAGGCTTTTTTTTTTTTTTTGCTTTAATAGTCAAATAAAAATACTTTATAATTAAAGACATTATTTTTTAAAGTTTTAAGATAGATGGATGGATAGATAGATGGATGGATATATATTTTATTAATCCCCTGGGGGAAATTTGAGGCATCCAGTATCATGTTCTAATTATATTTTGGTTTTCTACATTCAATTTTAGTTTTCTACATTCACCTTAGAATCTAGCTGTTTTTTGTTCCTTTTCTTTTTTAGCCATCCTATTTGTTAAAAAAAAAAAAATCTGTATGACTTTTTATAACTGTTTATTGTTGTTGCTGTTGTGCATTGTTGTCAGTTGTCATCATTCTTTGCTGAAACCAGGTCTCTCTTGTAAATGAGTCCTTGAGGCTCAATGGGATTTACCTGTATAAATAAAAATTGAATGAAAAATTATACATAAAAATACATAAAATTATCAAAAAAAGAAGCAGAATACACAAATTTGGAAAAAAGACAATATGCACATGCACAAGGTGGTACATTTATGATTAATACGTAAACATGTGTGTACACATACACATCTATTTACATGTATCCATGCCGAAAATCTACATTTTTACTGTACGGGGAGGAGTTGAACAGTCTGGCTTGAGGGAAAAAGGACTTAGTTAAGTTATACATTTATAAGCTTTTTAGGGTATAATTTATTAATTTAAAAGGTTTTATTTTTGATGGGTCCGCTTTATTTAATATCTGTATCTAATCATATCATGTAGATGTTATGAATTTTCCAGAATTTATACTTATTTAGCATGTATTTGTTTGTTTCTACTGAGTTCCAAACAAAAATATTGCATTTTAAAACTGAATTCACTCTTAATTTGATGGTATACTTAATGATGTATTAAATAATTAAACAATGGGACATTTATTTATTTAATTGAACATTTACATTTTTTTTATCATGATGTTTTTATTTCTTTACTTTCGTCACATTTCACCCTCCACACATGTGCTCCAGATGCATTTACGCAAAAACACACTTATTCAACCTTTATTTAGACAGGTAAATCCCACTGAGCCTCGAGGACTCATTTACAAGAGAGAATGATGACAACAATAGACAAATATAAAAAGTCATACAGATTTATTTATTTATTACAAATAGGATGGCAAAAAAGTAACAAAAACAGGTAGATTATAAGGCGAATGTAGAAAACTAAAAACAGGAACATGTCTTCATTAGTCCTTGCCAGGAGTCCAACAGATTTTCTTATTGACACATGAACTGAAGGAACCGCCCAAAATGGTTGTAACTTTTGTTTTAAGTCTTTCGATGGTAGTTATAAACTTTTAGAACTTTTTTTTTTTTTGGAAGATCAGCAATCAAATAAGATAGGCCTTGTGTTTTTTGTCCATGGGGATTTAACTTTTTGTTATTTTGTTTACCATCACAACAGCTAAACTCCACGCCAATAGTATTTGCATTCAAATAGGTTGAACAATAACATGAATAAAATTGTTATAGCTCATGTTGTCACAAACCTACAGCGTTGTAATAAATCTAAACAAATCTTTTGTGATGATTTCTGATGTTCTCTACAGAAGCATGCTCCAGTTTGGCTTTAAACTAGAGTGATTGCTCTAAATCCTCTGTATCTTTTAAAGTAATGGCTGATGCTACACTATGATTTCATGAAATACTGCAACTCCCAGCAAGCAGGGCCTTTGTGAGATGCAGACAGCGGGGCTGCCAGGTATAATTGGTGCAAGTGAGGCTTCAGTTTCAATGATGTCATTTTTTACTGGGTGCTCTGAGATGTTGAAGCACGTGAGCAAACATTTGCACGGTCATCCTGTTCAGTATCGTCTTGCAAATAGGTTTCTGCATCTTGGTGCAGCTATGCACAAGTATTCCATTATTGATAGTTTCTGCAGAGGATTCATCCCTCTCAAACGTAGAGACTGGTAGTTATTGTTACGCTTCGTGCGGGCTTTCACCGCTTTCCAGTTTCTTCCCAAACTTGCAGTTGAAATATCTTTGTATTTATTCAAACGTTGTTTATTCAGAGTAACTTCTTGTGACTCTTGTTTGAAAAGATAGAGAGCATGCTGCTCCTTTAAAAGCTTCTGGATTTGGTTGTGTGCATGCATGTGTGTTCTCTTGTGTGTTTTTCCCACATAAGAAGTCCTCTGGTCGTTGACCTGGTAAACTTTCCAGGCAACCTGTGGCTTCTTTCCAGGTCAAGCTCAATGCAAATCCAATTTAATTCTGAGTATAGCCATCCAGCCAACTACACTCAAGGCCAGCATAAGTGTTCACTTTTCTAATGGGAATAAACCATTTAAGATAAAGCGCTGAAAAAAGAAACCGTACAATTACAACCATGACTTGTAAAGAAGAGATACAGAACAGCAAGCTGAGTATTTTCTAAATTCTTCTTTTTGTATTTTTAGCCACATGAGGGCAGCATTTACATTATTATAAAAGCTGAACGTAATAAATTATGTTAAAACTGTATCAAAAGTTGAACTGACAGCCACAGCATGTGGTTCAAAATAAATTATTTGAAAAAGACCAACTTGATACATGTTCAAATGCATAAAATTATCTTATTTTGTAAAAAGTTTGAACAACTACCAACAGTTTCATCTTTATCATACTAACAGTTAAAAGTACTGTACAAGTTTCAAAATATATTCACATTTGTGCCACCTTTCCCTTAAAAACAACTCTTGCGCATGAGGAACTCCAGCGGTTTGATCGTGGTAATGTGACACTTTCTATCTGGTTCTCTCATTAACGTTCAGTTTGCTTTTAATTCAAGTTCTTCAGTTTTAAATGCTTATGGACACTGTTAGATTTAGATGCTTTAAACCACTTAGATCAATCTAGAGGACAAAGTTCAAGTTAAAGAAGGACAGATTAGGCGTGTTGGGCGTTGGAGGTGTTAAGAGGGCTTGTTCTAGGAGGGGATGAGTGTTCATCAGATGCTTCCCTCTGATGTCATTAACAATTGTTTAGGCTCAACAATTTTCTTTAAAATTAACGTTTTATTCCTCTATAATACAAATCAAACAGAGGAGCATGGCTCTGCTGCTTCTTTTAGTCAAAGTGGAATTGATGTGCAATTAGGCCAGAGTTTTCTCAACATGTGTCTTATTTTGGCTTTTAGCCACAGTGGCAGTTTTCTGCCAGGTGTACATCTTTTTAGACCGTATACTCCACTATTCTTGTCAGTAAATAGGTAAATCTTTGCCACTAGAATGCTGTTAAGATCATGATCTATTTTCCAAGAAAAGGTGGGGTTACTCTGACACATTTGTCTCTATGCTTTTCACCATTGTGAGGTTAAGAGCAGAGACATTTTCAGGTTAAACCGCATTCTTAACTGATGAACAATATATGTGTGGGATGATTTATTGAACCAATCCTATCAGTGTCATCCAAACACTGCAATAATGCAAGTCTGAAAGTCAAGGAAATCAAAGGTTTGATGACTGGATATCCATTAGATTATTTAATGATTCACCTTAAAGTACAAAACATGTCTTCATAAGTTTTGCATTTGTGGTTTGATGTGTATTCTTAAGTGTTTTCTTTGTTATTTTTTATTGTGTTAATTAGTGTTAAACAGGTAAAATACAGTATAAGTTTTGACATTTTGAAATGTTTTCTATAAAACACATAACCATCAACTTTCCCAAAAGTTACATCTGTTCTGATTTGGGTTTTTCAAAAAAGGTTGATACCAGACTGACAAACAACCTCCGGTGCAAATAAGTCTAAAAAAAAAACCACACACACAATTTATCTTGACACTAATTAATTTTTTATAACTATATAATAAAAATATACACAAAATAACATGTTTGGAAAGGCAACAAACAAAGAAAAATAACTGTTTGCATTAGTTTTTTTAAAATTTACCTTTAAGGAAATTTCTAATATGTTACAATAAGCGTGTCTGGGTTTAGGACAGATTGGTATACAAGAATCAACTAATGTCCATCAATAGAAATATGATTAATGTGAACAAATCATAATCTGAAAAATAATTGTTAAATATAAAATAAGGTTATGTTAATACAAAAAAAAATATGCTATATTTGACACTGTCTCTATATTTTGTAGCGCAGGAGTCACATTAGGATGATGTAGATTTATTTGCTTGGAAAGGATAAAACAAGATTAAAAACAATCTGGTGAAAGTCCCAGATAGCTATAATTTTATCTAAAGTCTGTGAAGACTTAATATATACTCTACTGTCTACTTTTTGCTACTTTTCAAACGTATAAGATTTTATAGTCACTGTAACAGAAAATGTCAGCAGGGCTCTTGCTTGCCCCCTGCTGGTCACTGATTGTTACTGCGCATGCCCAGTGAGTGTGGACTGATTTCTTCCTGCTCAGAAGTGTTGCATGTGGGGTCGTTTGTTAATTTGTCTGAGAGAAAATATAAAAATTATTTATTCAGACATCCCTAACATTGTACAGCAAAGTGCCAAAATCATTTGTCAAACAGCAAGGCAGTAGGATCTGGGGGTGCATTGTTCCCTTGTGGATAGAAGAAATAAAGTGTCAAAAGTAAAGAAATACATCATAATGAATTTATAAGTAAACAAATTAAATGATTTTAATTTAGCTGGATTTAGCCACAAAGTTACATTTTCATCTGCAATCCTCATCTATTCATTTTCTAGACCCTTTCCGGGTTGTGAAGAGTGGGTGCCAATCTCCAGAGATCACTGCATGAGAGGTGCGTACACGCTGGACAGAGTCCATCACTGAGACACAGAGACACACAAGACAACCATTCACAGTCTCACCCACACCTAGGGACAATTAAGTTATCAATAACATGCATGTTTTTGGTCTGTGGGAAG